CAATGAGGTGTGGGGAGGGGGAACTAGATAACATGGGTGAATATAGCAACCACAATGTTGCTCATGTGAAACCTCCATAAGACTGTATATCAGTGATACCTTAAGAAAAAAAAAAAGGACATAAAAAAAGTCTCTGGTATGTATTTTGTTTCTGGGTTTTCTATGGGGTTTGCTTCTTGTACCAGTACAAAATGCATTTCAAGAATCATTATAGCTCCAAAGTTCCCCTCCTTATTCTTCCTTTGCCGTATTCTCTTGGCAATGTTTACCTCTACATTTTTTGTTTTATTACTTTAAGTGGTTTTATTGAGAACTTAAAACCATTAGGAACCTTAATTTTCAGTGAACACTGAGAAGGCTATTGTAAACCATTACACTAGCACCCTTTAGACTGACAAATTTATGAAAACGTTTTATAATTTCTGTAACTATGAGCTTTACAGCACAATCTCTCACTAAGCACAAAGTATGTCTACTTAGGAAAACTTTAAGGTTTTAGGTTACCACAAAGATTCTCAGGCCGTTTGTAGGTATACACACTGTAACAGACTATTATTAAGATGTTCACTTGCTACAATTAGTTTACTCATTCCCAACAACCATGCTAGATTACTCACAAAACTTTTACCAAACATTAGACAAAGTCAAGACTCTTTTTCAAGCATTTTTCCTTGAAATATTTAAGATAACATCAACTTAAATGACTTCAGGTAAATTTAGGCAGCTGACAACCATAAGAACATATCCGTTTCAGTTCAACTTAAATTAGCACTAATGCTTAATATCTTCTATTAGAATTTTGGAAGTTTTGAAATGCCCAATTTTCACAAGTGATTGTTTCTAAATCCATTTTTATTAATACCATACAGAGGTAGAAAAAATATTTTTCATTTACACACACATACAGATTGAGAAGTAATGACTACAGTTGGCAACACTTAAGAGAACATATACACAGACAGATACAAAGATTTGTTACTGATGTCCAATTGTCTTCTTTCCTTTTAGCTTACTTGATTAAAAGTATCTCAATTTTCAAGTATACACTCTAAGGGCAAGCAGTTTACATAACTGGGTTAAGGTTTAGATGACCTTAGACTAACAGGGCAGATGAAGGCTCTGTACTGATAGGGACTATGTGTGTCCAGGTGGCTGGAAATGAAATACAAGTATGATTGCAGCACTAGTCATTTGAAGCCAGGCAGTACTGTAAAAGACAAATTTCTTCCATTTCAGGGAGTATAGTTTAAAAACCTTCAAATTTTTGAAGATAATGAACCCAATAAGTAGAATAGGTTTTCACCAAAAAAAATATTAGAAAACTAGTTCCATATTGTAGTTCACGAGACTTTTGACTGTTTTCCTTCCTTGTTGCAAAATATATTCAGGTGCATAACCTTATTATATTGCATTCTTCTCTCAGGAGCCAAGCCTCTCTAATCAGAGAGTTTGTATTGAGGCCAGACTTGTGTGCAGAAGACAAGACACTTCTTTTTCAGGGTCTGGGGACCCAATTTTTCCCAGTTCTTCAGAACGCATGCCAGAGGCATGTCTGGCCTTAACCTTGAAGAGGAAGCTCCCATCCGGAAGAGAAAGGCAGGTGTGCGACATCGGAAAGGCCTTTCCTCTGTGAGGGCGTCCCTGGCCTTGGAGCCTGATCTGTGAGACAAGAGGTTGGGGGTCATCTGCGACTCTCGCATAGGCAGCAGCCTAGCCGGAGGTTTGCTCAGCACCATCAGATCCATCGGCCGGAGCTGAGATCCAGGACCACTGTCTTGTCTACTAATCCGGTCTCAGAAGTTATCTCGGACAAGCCCCCTAAAGATGATGCTGGGGTTCTTGTTCACGAAGCCGAAGAATGAGCTTCACAAACACTCGAGGTAGGAGAACAAGGTACAGGCTTTTATTCAGAAATAAAGTGAGAGGAAAGAGCTCCTGACTCATGCCAGGAGGGGACAAATAGAGTCCCTACCTCTACATTTTTTAAGGTTTATTTGTAATCACTATGCCAAGTTAAAAAGAATTCTTGCCTCCCACATTCAAGGGTGGTAGACTGGAAATCAAGTTGCCAAATGGCCCATGATTTCATCCATTAGGCTTGTGTAATGAAACCCCATTAACAAAAACTCTGAAATGAGGCTCAGAGAGCTTCTGAGTTGGTGAATACGTCTATGAATTGAGAGGGTGACATGCTTGGGGAAAGCATGTAGACCTTGCCGAGACCTTGCTGCCTAGGTATATCTTCATCTGGTTGTCCCTGTATATCCTTTAGAAGTACATCAGCAATCCTAAATACAGCATTTTCCAGAGTCATTCTAGTGAATTCTCAAACCTGAAGGACAGTCGTGGGAATCCCCAAACTTGTAGCCAAGTCAGACAGAAGAGCAAGTAGCCTGGGGACTTGGGATTTTGAAGTGGGAGCGGTGCTGTGGATCTGAGCCCCTTAACCTGTGGGGTCTAACTTCCAATAGTTAAGGGTATCAAACTGAACTGCATGACAGTGGGTGCATTTCCACTTTACTCAGCATTGAACATGGCCATCTTCTGAGTTCTAATACAGAACCTAACAGTAAATTTCCTCCATCCTCTGGGGTTCTTGCTTGAGTGATAAATCCTGTCTCCCTCTAAAAAGCGTCCACATCAATGAATTCTTGCTTATCCAGTCTTACACTTCATCACACTTATCAAGTCCCTTAAAATCCAATCCCAGGAGCATGCACCCTGGCTTGTGCCTGCTAAGTAGTACACACTAACTAAAGAAAACTGCTATAAATGAAATTTTCTCTACTAGATAAAAACTATAAAATACATAATTCATAAATATAAAAGTGATTATTAAATCAATGTTTTGGGAAATAGCAATTTGTGATATTGACTACGCATGTCAGAACACATACACCAAAATGAAGTCCAGACCAGTAGTGTTTAGTGTTTTCATAAAAGCATTCAATCATTACATATTTTTGAGAATCAAGCTCAATGGTATTATTTAATGAGGAAATATTTTTCAAATAAGAACAGAAGTTATAAAAGAAAATTATCAACACATCTGGCCACATAAAATTTGTGACCAAATAAACTTAGTATAAATGCAAATGGTTGACATATATGCACACACATTCCATACATAATTGTGATAGAAATTACACAAGTATTTCACATTTTGAAAAATCATACAGATGCAATTTCATCACCAAAAATGTGTTCCAGCAAAAATCTGTTAATACACATAACAGTTATTTTTCACTCATGGGATGTAATCCGCAGGCAACATCATCTCCTATTACATTTTTAAATATCCAGCTCTTTTTCTTCCACCCACAGAAAAAAGAGAAACCTTTCTCTGTGTAATAAAAAGTAATAAAAAGTCCATAGAGCTGTTTCAACTCGCAAAGCACTGAAACAGAATGTCCAGCCCCATGTAAGTATAAAAATGCCAAAGTCAGAGTTCATCAGCTAGGCCAGGCTAGGAATGGTAGTTTCTCTTTACAAATTCCATCCCTCCTCCCTCTGCAAGGGTGGTCACCTGAAACTCCACAAGATTACAATGCAAATAAATAAGGAAGTGTGAACCAAACATCCCAGGCAAACAACAGAGGCTGTCAGGATGGATGTAAAAAGAGCCACCTGATAACATACTTACACTCAGAATATCTGATCTCTTACCACACATGACAGACTGCCCAAAAGGGTGTATGTCCCTGTAAAATATTTGAACAGACATTTCTCAAAACACATACAAATGGCCAACAGCATAGAAGAGGATAGTCATATCACTAAGTGCTAGAGAAATGTAATAACTCCACAATGAGCTACTACTGTATACCCACTAGCATGGCCGTGACCTCATCAAAAAGACTCTAAGTACAGTAGAAGATGTGGAAAACTGGCACCCTCATTCATTGGTGGCTGGAACAAAATACTGTGTAAGTTACTTTGAAGAGTTCATCAGATTCGTAAAAAGGTTAACAGCAACTTACCACATGACCCAGCAATTTCAACCCCAGAAGGCTACCCAAGAGACACGAATGCACACATCCACAGACATGTATATGCACGAGCACGTGCATACACACACACAAACGCACACAAGGGAAGCAATAAAAAAATGGGGCAAATGAAAATACCTGGTGAATGTACATCAATAATAATGGGAGTTCCTTGTATTATTCTGATAACACCTTCCGAAGTTTGAAATTACGTCAAAATTTAAGATTACAAAAAATGGGGGTGGAGGAAGGGGGCAAGAATATCACATGACAAGCTCCCTCTTAAAGACAATATACAGCTTAAAAGACATTACAGAACTGGAGGTGACTTTAATAGAATAACTTCAATAATATAACTGGGCTGTAAACACAATGTGCTCTAAAATAATTTTTCTATTGAGTTAAATAAATTTTATCTATAAATCCTGTGACAACATGTTCATATTCACAAAATCTGAACAAAAAGCACACCTGACTTTCCACTTTAAATACAAGGTAATCTAAAAAATTCACTTTGAAGGGGACTGAGTTTTTGGTTTAATTTTGCTTCCAATACCAAACATAATTATGCAGTTATTCAGAAGTTGAAGTGTGTTACTTGTCTACTTAACAAAGTACTGCTGTGGTGTTCTGAAATGAAGTTCTTTAGTCAAAGTGATAGTAAGGTTTAAAAAAAAAAACGAAAATGCATGTTGCATTTTCAGAAGGTCAGAATCATTTAAATTCCAATTGTACCTGTACGTTTACAATTCTCCACACTTAGATTTCAAGCCAATTTATATCTAGACAATCTGGAGCACAATCAAGTGTACCTTAATGTCTTAATGAAGTTTCCACTGATGTACTTAGAAATATGATTTACTAACAGTTAAACAGCATCAATTCTTTATCAAAGATAAATGGTACTCTCTGGAAATAAAGAGAATCCTTCAACAACTTTACTCCACTGAGTCAAAATATTTCCTAAGAGCTAAAGGAAATTTTATTCACATCTAGTAAAGTAACTAAACATAAAATCATTACTTATTTTCAACTTTAGTACCTGATCGGCATTTCTCAAACTGTTTTCAATCCTCATAGTTGTTTAAAATATTTGTATTGGTTACTAATTTGTAACAGGTGTCATCATGAGAATAACCAGAATTAGTTAACTGTGACAGAAGACTGACAAAGTGTTTCACTCCCTTGAGTGATGCCAAGAATGGGAGGAAAGCGTTGCAAAAGGAGAGGACCGTAGAGCTACTTAAATTCTCATTAAAACCAGCAACACATCCATTACAGGAGAGTTATCATCTCACTTCCAATTTCTTCCCCTCAAGAACAATTTGGATCTCTTTGGCATCCAAAGTCTCATAAGTCAGTAAAGCTTCTGCTAGGTTCTTATGCTCTTTTGCATGAGTCTTCAAGATATGTTTTGCTCGTTCATATGAGTCCTGAAATCGAAAAGCAGATATGAAAGAGGTGAAAACTGAGACGCAAAAACTGTGAGAAACAAAAAACTTTATATACCCTTAAAAATGTAAAACCTATTCATTTCTATTTATAAAAGATAAATATTTAGTAACTGATCAGCATTTCTCAAACTCTTTTCAATCCTCATAGTTGTTTAAAATATTTGTACAGGTTACTAATTTGTAATAGGTGTCATCATGAGAATAACCAGAATAACCAGAAAGACAACTCTTTTGTACATTCAAATGTTCCATTTTTAACCTCAAAATCCATCACAAAGATCACTGAGGACTACCCAGACAAAAGCTCCTTAAAGAAATAAAAGTATACATTTTATTTATCTGCTTTAAAAGGTCTGTGAATATAGAAATGTACTTTTCTATTCAATATATATGTAAAAAATAAAAAAAGGGAGATTACGTCTTTTGCATCTCAAGATTTCATCAATTTACACCATCCAAAGGGGACAGAAAACGTGACAATGGCACTGTGATTCCATTGTACCAGCATGCCTTCAGCCCACCCACATCTCTCTATTTCTACTCTCAGCACCCTAATCCCAGCAATATTTACAGCATGTCTAGATTTACATGGTACCTAAAAAGTGCTCTCACTGCATCTACTCTTGCAACTTTCTTTATCCTAACCTGCATTGGACTGGACGCTGCAGTCCAAAGACCTTTGTTTTGCTTGTTCTCACACATACACTGCTAGGCACAAAAGACATATTTGTTGAATAAATGTATGTGTGGGTGGGAAAACAATAAAGACTCAATAATCAACATCCTCTACTCTAATACCTCTTACAGTTTGGCACCTGAAGTAGAACTGAGTATTTATAATCAGACATAAGCTGTTAGCCTCCTGCCAGAATACAATAAACATCCAGTCTATGACCAGAGGCTTCAACCATGTATTTAAATCATGGTTGCTATGGTGTGCCTATTACCTTTACCACATACAGTGACCTTTCTAAAAGACAGTGGGTAACCATTATCATTTGGTAAGTGTCCAACAGTTTAGGCACATTATGACTAAACAGATAAATGAACTTAGAAAAATATAATCTTACCCTTAGGAGGATTCTGATTTCTTGTTCAATAGCAGACTGAGTTTCTGGACTCAGTTTCCCTGTATCACTGTAGGTCATAACTCCAAGCTAAAACAGGTGGGAACAAAGAAGCTGAACCAAAAAATCCAAAATCACTAATAAACGTAACAAAGGAAGCACTATCTTATAAATGAGGAAACAAATATCATGGGAGGCAAGGAGGAAATTCAATATAAGAATGCTTTAGAGGGCAAAGAAATTTCATCATTCTTCTGAAAGGAAAAGACCAAAACAAAAATGTGATCAAGATAGAAAACGTGGAACCGTAAGTATGGTTCTGAGTACCGTCTGAGAGCGCCCTGGCAGCTACTCCAAGTCCAGAAATGCACCATTCAGGGCTACAGCTGCTTCAAGGAGCCACAGGAATAATGTGGGGAAGAGAAGCAGGTGGAAAAGGCAAAGTGGGCAAGCTCAGCAAGCAGGTCTTTCACATCGTATGACTAGAAAAGGCTAAAGAACTGGTCTTTTCATTGGGTTACCTCACGAGGTAATAACCTGTTACTGTCTGAGCAGCTAGAACAGAAATAGAATGCTACCATTTTAGTGCTCAGAAAATAACGTTTAGTTTAGAATAAGCTGAGTCAAGTCCATTTGGAACAAGAGGGGCTAGCAATTTCTAATGGGAACCTTTCTCACAGAGACACTTGGCACCACATCATTTGGTACGTGAAGGAGGATTAAAATCAGCTTTTACCTTTTCACTCATTCCAAATTTGGTAACCATCCACTTTGCTATTTTAGTTGCATTATCAAAATCACTGGAAGCTCCTAAAATTTAAAAGTAAATGTAGAACTCAACATTTAAAAATACCTTTAAGCCAGCAAACACAGTTTGAACTAAAGCCACTCTTCATAGCCAACCTGTTGTAATATGGTCAGTTCCAAATATAAGCTCCTCTGCCACTCGTCCTCCCATACTGACATCCATTTGTGCAAGGAGCTGAGCCCTAGTTTCATTCCATCTGTCATTCTCAGGCAACAGGGACACCTAGCAGTTGAAAAAGAAAAAATTCAGACAGTTTGAAACACTTGTTTTAATAACAAGAATGACCATTTGGCTCTCATTACGCTACATCATTAATATCATGACACTAAAAGCTCATTTAGTAGAGTTGGTCATCAGGTGACTGATGACAGAACCAGCAATATGTAAAATACACAAACTTCCTTATAAAGCAAAGGTGAATTTATAAATAACAGACAGGTAATGCTACAATAGGACTGTTTAATCACTAGGTGCACAGAAATGTTTAAAGTGTCTACAGTTAGAAACATGAGAATGAAACCTGTATTCAATGAAAAAAACTTTTGGAAAACTATTGAGTCAGTAGCTATGATATGTAACTTCTTGTAGTGAGGAAAAGAGCAATTACATATTTAAGAATTACACTTTACTGTCATTTTGGAATTAAATTTCATAATGTAGTTGCATAGGACCTGAAATATTAACAAAACATTTTATTAGATTAAATTTCACGAATATTTCTGACTTCATGCTGGTTCAGAAAGTTAAAGAAGAAACTATCAACAAACTTAGGAAGTAAGTGAATTTTCGTTTTTTAAATGTTTTCATTAGCAATTTTCTACATAAGCTTCTGGGGAGCGCTATTTGAAAGAAAAGAAAAAATTACAAGACATTACATGTCCCAGTGTTGGCCCCCGCGGAGTGATTGTAGCTTTGTTGATAGGCATGGCATCTTTAGTGTAATATGCAATGATAGCATGACCAGATTCATGATACGCTGTGATGGTTTTATTTTTGTTATCGATTTCCACGCTTCTACGTTCAGGCCCTAAGGATAAAATTTCATTAAGTAAAATTTCTCCATTAGGAGCGTATATTTAAATGAATAAAAGCCATTTGCTGTGGAGTCATTTTAGAGTAACATGACTTAATATCACTAATAAATATTTTACACCACAACAATCTGTCAACTGAAAGCCAAAATTTTAAGATCATCTTAATCCTTGTATTAAGAGGGAGAGTGGAATTCTATTTTCAGAAGATAGATTTACTATTAACAGGAATGTCATAACCTATTAAAGTCAATTTAAGATTTAGAATTAAAATTAAATAGTGAGAATTAATAAAATTATTCTTTTATCAGCAGTATCCAACAAGGAGAAACACATGGGCAACTGTCCCCAAAGAGTATAATCATGTAAGCTACACTTGTTCTGTAAGAGGCCAAGTGGTACTGCTATTTTCAGATATATTTTTGCTTGTCCCTGTACCTTTTTCATAATCGTTTCATAAAAAAAAATAATTTGTTCTTCAACACCATGAACTGTGTTAAGACAGAAAGAAGAGAGAAAACCTACCCATTAGGATTTTATCTTTGGAAAACTCTAGCTCCTTCATGGTGACCATTTCTTTTCCATCAACAGCTGCCTTTAATGCAGCTTGGTTCACAAGATTCTCCAACTCTGCTCCGGAAAAGCCAACAGTACCTCGAGCTATGATTTCTGGATCAATAGCTATGAAGACAGAATATAATATTAAAATTCCAAAGCAGCTAACAGAAAGCTTTTCACAATGAATTCACATTCCAAAAGAAAAAGAAAACACCTATTAGACCTATAACTTAAAATACTTATCTTAGTGAAACTAGAGTAACTCACTTTATTAAGGGAAAAAAGCCAAAATTGCTATTAAAATTGCCATTGGGACAAACCAAAAAAGTTCTTACATTTAAATAACAGTGAAAAACAAAGAAATGTACAGTTGCCAACATGATTTATAAACCTTCAATTTGACCTATATTGTTACTAGCCTAACAATAATCGAAAAAGCTATACCCATACACAGAATTTTTCTGAGTTTCATCTTGAAATACTTTGTACATAAAAGCTGCTCTTATCAGAGGAAACATTTACTTTTATGAATTGACTCAACTATCTTTGAAAATATTACAGCTTGAAAACTGTTTTTATTCAAGTGGATCCACAATATTTCCATGTGTTTATTTTACACATTGCTTTCCCCTCTTCTGGCTCTAAAGTGACTATAATTATACCACGAGGTACGTTGCTTATAAACATGTAGGTACTTTTTCTATTACTTTACATTTTATATTCATCTTAAAAACCACTTACATATTCATCTTCAAGTATTATCTATTCAAATGCTCGGAGGAAAACTTTCTGTCTAGACTGAGGATTTGAAATTACACAATCTCCTGGATATACAATAATTAAGAAATGGACTTTTTTAATGGGACTATAAATGCAGAGAAAAAAAGACATACAAAACTGGTCTTTTAAGACAGTTATCAAACAGGGACCACAAACACGGTGGACTGATAGGTTACCATTTTACAGAGATAATGTTTGTATTATGAAATCAGACTTACACTGATCAAACTTTATTTTATTGAGATACCATTTCAAAATTTCTGTTCGACCTTTTACATCTGGTCTTGGAACTGTAACTTGCATGTCAAAACGGCCAGGACGTATTAAGGCACTAAAAAGAGAATAAAAAGAGAAAACATAAATGAATGGGCTGACTGTGCTGAAGGTCAAGTTAAACAGGACTGACACTCTCAAGAGATGATGGATGGAAGACAATGGCAACCAGAGAGTAGGCAGACTTTTGAACATAATATTCAGCTTCTACTTATAAAACTTGGCTGAAATTAACAGTTTCAATAACCGTAAGGCTTATGAGGTTCACGGATATATATGTGTGCATCTAGATAGCACACAACCCTCAGAAACAAAGACACCAAGTCAGTCAGTCAGGAACAAAAAATCCTATAGCAGTCTTATGAGAACTATACACCCATCTTAACTGCTTTAAGCTTAGAAGGGTAAACTAGAGTTTTAGACAATAACAAACTATCAGATCAAATTAAAAGTATGAATAAATAAACCAACAAAAATGTACAAGTACAGTAAATTTAAAAAATTGTCCCCCACCTAAAAAACTTTTGTTTCAGAAAATTCTTTTACCAGCTTTACTGGAATATTATTAACATATCACAGAGTTTCAGGTGGACAATCCAGTGGTTTTTAATATATTCAGAGTTGTACAATCATCGCCACAATCTAAGTATTTTCTCTCACACATACATACACAAACCCACCCACCCAAAATCCAACCTTATCCACTAGCAGCCCCTCTCTCCCTTCTCCACAGCTTTCAGCAACTACTAATCTACCTTCTGTTACTATGGATTTGCTTAGTCTGGATGTTTCATATAAATAGAATCACGTAAAACGTGATATTTTGTGATGGGCTTCTGTCTCTGAGCACAATGTTTTCACAGTTAATCCGTGTTCTAGCATGTATCAGTACTTGCCCACAAAAATCATCTGATACTTACTTATCTAATGCCTCTGGGAAGTTTGTGGCTCCTATGATGATAACTCCTTCATTGGGTTTAAAACTATTAAAAAGAAAAAAGGACACTTACACTGCAAATTAAAACAGCACATATAGAAATGCTCTATACATTTATCATTAACCTTATCATTAAACTGTTTATCATTAACCTTAACAGCAAACAGGGACTGATCTTTTTTTATGCCCCAAAAAGAATTTCTCTTGCTTTTTTAAAAGGAACAACTAGTAGGCCAGTGCACTTTAACAAAACTGCTAACAATAAATCACCACATCATCTGTGATTATGCACCTTCACAATTTGTTCTCCTTAGGAAGAGCAGACCTATCACAAAAAGCTTGGGCCCTAAGTTTTGAAATATTATGTTCAAGTTTGCCCATTTGAATTATTTGCTCCTAGACTTACCTATTTGGTTCTAGAATGTTTTACCTGACTTTAAGAAGGTTTTTTTTGCTTCATTCACAGTAACCCCATCTCTTGCATTTTTTATTATGAAAATCAACACAAGCTTTTAATCTACTGCAACCTTCAAAGCTGGTCACAAATTGTGTAGGAGCCAGTATACTCTCCCTTACAATTCCCCCAGGCTACTATTCCCAGCTGGAATTATTGCTTTCCTGTCATAACACAATAAACAAAAACAAAGGTGTACATAGCACCACTGCTCTCTTAGTAATGTAAACAGTATTATACTGGAAATAGCTTATTTTGACTTACTGCACAAGGAACTACTCTGTTGCTTATAAACATAACATTTTTTCTATCTCTTGAATGTTACCATATATGTCCCCATATTCCAAGCACAGAGGAAGATTCAATTACCCATCCATCTCAGCAAGAAGTTGATTTATAGTCTGCCTTGAATATGGATGCATTGGAGATTCAATTCGCTTCCCACCAACAGAATCTAATTCATCAATAAATATAACACAAGGAGCATTTGCTTTTGCTTCCCCTAGGAAAACAGAAACGATTCAAATAACCTTAAAGAAATCAACACTTTTTGAACAAAATCATACGAATATTAAATATTAAAAATCTGTAAGATTGCAAAAAAGTCAACATAAGATATAAAAAGAGATCTTTTCTAACTGATTGAAGGACAATAGTCTCAGAAGGAAAAAACCTAGAGAATACAGAATGATACCTAAGAAAGACAACTGAGCATTTGTCTTCCTAGCTGTAAAAGCCATATGCAGTCAATTAGATTGGAGGCTGATTACTCTTAATTATGTATTACAGGATTGATAAAAAAATGAAACAAAACCCCAGCTTTTCAGCAGCCCCTGACTTCATCCAGCATTTCCACTAACTCTTATATTTGGGAAAACAAGTACACTTCTGTTTTAGCTCACAAGTAAATTACCTGGAACCTGAGCCCTGCAATGGCTATGTCAGCTCAGCTGACCATCGATTACAATCAAGTAGCAAAGAAAAGGGAAGAGCCCTCTTTCCCTCCAATTAAGAAAACAGTATCACTATGAAAGATACATTCAAACGTACTAAAAAGATTTCTTATACGGCTGGCTCCCACACCCACGAACATCTCATCAAATTCTGATCCAGAAGCATAATAAAAGGGGACATCAGCTTCTCCTGCCACAGCTCGGGCAAGAAGTGTCTTTCCTGTCCCTGGTGGTCCAACTAAAAGAATTCCTAAAAGAAAAAACAAAACAAGAATGACTCAAATTATTAAAAAAAAAACCCACAAACCT